CATGAGTTCCAAGCAYCTGAAAGGTGACTTTAACTATGCATGGCCCACAGCAGAAGTAGCTGTAATGGGAGCACAGGTAAGACTCTCTTGCATGGGATTTTAYTGGGACACGACATAGAAACTGGACAATTGAGAAGAGACCCCTCAGACAGAGCGACATCCACATCACTCTTGGTTTTCTCAGTGAGTTTGGAATCTTACATAAAGTTTAGTTGAAGCTGTAGATAGTGATGCTGAATACAATGAGATCAAGTCCTTCGCTTTTGTTTTCTCAAATGGATCCGGGGAGAAACGACAATAGCAAATACGAGGAACACGAAGATCAACAGCAACTCTACTGTAGATAGAAGTAACAGGAAGCCTGGCTAATGTTCTGGTATTTTTACAACTAGGGCGCTGTTTCTATCATTTTCCGTGGAAAGAAAGACATTAGTAAGTACACACGGCTCATTTTACTAAATGTTGCAGAACCATTTGTGAAATTTTGTGTTTTTGTTTCAGAAAAATATGAGAATGAGTATGTGGATCGGTTTGCCAACCCTTTCCCTGCTGCAACAAGAGGTATTTAATGAAAATTGGATGCTTACATTGATTTTATTTACAATACAAGTATTGAAAATGTGAAAAAATGTTCCAGGTTTCGTTGACGACATCATTGAGCCGCGCATGACAAGAAGAAGAATTTGTGAGGACCTCGAGGTTTTGGCGACAAAGAAACGAGAAAACCCTTGGAAAAAGCACGGGAATATCCCTCTCTAGATTCACAAGGTTATCAATATCAAATGAGATAAAGAAATAGATCGTTTTCAATTGAGAGTAATTTCTATAAAATTGGCTAAGCGAAATAGACCCCGAACTGATCTAAAGGTAGACTAAGTTATTCCAAAAAGTAAGGTTAACGTACGGAAAAAAAGGAAAATTATCAGTAATGCTAACTTCATATTTTATATACAAACTATTTTAGGAAGACACGAGTGAAATGTTGGGCAAGTGTTTAAAAGTGATGTTTATTTTAATTTTGTCATAATTTATTTTCTTGGAAGGCACACAGTTGTACATGTATACCTTTTTGACTGAATTTTTTGGAAAAAATGTAGGAGCAAATCCAGCATTGTATAGGAAGTATATGCAGTATATATTATAAAAGCATAATTTATAGTATATTGTTTGCACTCTATTGTAGAGTACCCAGTAAAACATTAGTTAGTCTTTATTTTACTTTTTTAAAATCCTCGACTTTCAATCGATCGTGTTCATCTAACCACCTGTACACTAATATACGTGTATCAAGAGTAAGGCGTTACATCGAGCATGATGATCAATGATTTAAATAAACTACTGAAACATCGATTTATTGGTTGTCTTGTTTGTCAGTAAGGGAATGTTAACTGTGACATTTGTGGTTTATTTTTTGTAAGACCGCATGGCTAATTTGCATGCATTTGAATATGAAATGAACACCGTCATGGCGGCTAACGTGACCAAGATGAGTATATAAATGTCGGCGAAGACGGAAACGTGTACACCTTGGATGTCCGTTATTTTCATTTGTACCTATTTTACATCACTGACTGACTGATGGATGTGGTTTCGTTTGTCTGAGGTCTTCGTGTGTCATGACGTCTGGACGTGGAAATGCGTAGACGCTGCTTTCTTCTCGATTTTCATGTTCTTTCTCTCTTTTCCATTTTTTCGTTCTTTTTTAAGTTTTGGAAAATAAGAATATGTAAAAGCTTTCGTGGTATCCCATCCTAGAAAGATGAAAATGTTGAAGTAACAATAAAATATCCTTGCTCTATGGTACTAAAGGTGTATTAAGCACTGGTGAAATTGAATTTAAATTGTAAGAAGGTCAGTAACTAAATAAACTTACCTAATTGAAAATATTGTGATTCTAATTTATATTTCCAATCTTTGCTGTCATCTTCGTCGCTATTATCATTGCTATTGATRCTACTGGGTACAGTAGGAATTTCAGGAAYCACAACARCATCATCTTTATCAAGGCTCATCTCAACTCCAATATCCTCATTCAAATCGATTTCAGTAGATTTCAATTCCTTCTCAACTTTTTTCTTTTTTCTTTTCTTCTTATTCTTTTCTGGTTTCTGATCGGGAGCCGTCAATACAATCTTCGGCAATTTATTTGAATCTTCGAGAATTTTACTTCCTTTGGCGTTGAAACTGTTGTCTTCGGTAGTTAAAGACTGTGTACTGGACTTGTATTCATTATCATCTTGTACAGGTTTTTCGTTTCTTGAGTAAAATAGTCGTGAGCTGATGCTTGAGGTGGAATATCGTCTTGCTGGAGTTTCACCAGCGCCGCCGGCCTCTAGGTATGGTTTGTAAGACAGAGAGATTCTGCGAGACGATTCCGGTGACTGAAACAAGCAAATGGACACAATCGTAATCATAATCGTAATCATAATCATAACCATTTTTGTAACAGTAGTTCTCATGCAGAAAGATTCTCCCTTTACTCTCCGGCTTTTTTTGTAGCATTTCACTTGACCTCATTGATCTCTAGAACCAACTAGAAAATCCCTGTTCTCGTGTTGTATTGACCATTGTGATTGTAGCGATACTACTACTGGAGGTTTTTACCCAGCATGAAGTGCGCTTCAGTGAATTTCTTTCCGGACCCCAAGCTTCGTTTTGCTCTCATTTAATAGACTTAAATAATGCAAATACGTTTTATTTTGAGTTCATTTAGAGATATAACTTATGATCAAAAAGTGAAGAAAGTACCTATTTATCATGTATTATAACAGTAACTTTGTGCACCCATATATTTTCAAATCAGAAAATTACAACAATTTCATATCTTATTTATTTTTGTCAGCAATTTCGTTTATTTGATATCGATGTTTTATTATTCTAATATTATTCCCACTGTACTCATTGATTGCACTCATTGAAGTAATACTTATAAGGTGATTTCATCTTGCTTTTTTACCTTATTTCCACCGGCTCGTTCATGTAGCTTAGCTGTTTGTCCTTTACAAGCTACGTCCTCTCGTTTTGGATTTAAAAGCTCCAAAAAACTCGGTTTGTTTATAACTTCGGAAKTCTCTGGAGTTACRATGAAGGGAAAGCTTGCAACTGAATGACGCTGTGGACGGTTTGTTCTTTGCATACCTCCTTACTTGAAGTCAGTGAACTGAGCAAACTACAGTAGATAAAGACAGTTTAATTCAAATACAAGYTATATAAACGAGAACAGCGAATATATCCGACTTGAAAAAAGTAARTTCTCTCGCTGATCTACAGYTAGTTTTACCTTAMCGTTTTTCATGAAATTCTTTGTTGTCTTTTCAACATTTGTTCATCACCAAGCACGCTCAAGAAGCGTTGATAACTGCGATGACATCCAAAGAAAATGAAGAAACATGCAGATACTGTAGGTTTGCTTTCCTTTTCGCTCAATCCAGTAGTCTCCAAGATTAAAATTTATTTGTATGGTGAGATRATTAGGTTTTTCTTCTATTTTATTGAAGCTGTCACCAAGTTAAACCTCAAGTTGCTCGCTTTTGTGATCGTAGCTGAATTGATTTRTAAATATGAATATTAAGACTATATGGACGGTCAGGTGGAACTTGTAGCTTGCTGTGAGCACCTGGATAAAACTTCAAGTGTAMAAATTTAACACCATTAAGCCATTAAATTTTCCAATTTAACACTTGTATTGTAATTCAAAAAGTTCAGTTTATTGGTCCAACAGAAAAGAGGGAAAGGTTTAACTATAAATGTGGGCTTTTATTTCCTTAATTGACTTTGAATACCCTCGGGAACAATCAGAGTTATTCATTCATTTTCTAAATACCGTATTAACAATGGCCTTTCTTTGTTCGTTTGTTATCCTCCCACCCCCACTGCATCGACATTGTCATTATCATAACCTCCATACATCAGAAAAACCGGCAATGTGATTCCAGCAGTGTAGATGAAACAAATCCGCGACCAATAGGAGCTGGATTTGTTTTGACGAGCAATGGGTATATCATAGTTTCATGATGTGAGGCGAAAAGTTCTCATAACACTTGATACATCGCTGCGCTGTGGGAAGTAAAAACTGAGGGTCGTGAAAATCACGCCTGACGGGATGCATTGCTGAGGTAGACTCGCAAGTTGCGTTAGAACTGTATTTTATAAACGCTGTTGAATTGATATTGAAAAAAAGAAGACTTTCGGTTTCTGGCTGGTTCTCCCTCATTTATTGACATCTCGCAACTCTCTAAATTGATKAATTTGGAACCTTGGACCGGAATGCTGTTCCATGTCTTAATGTCTTAAAATGTTACAAAGAGTGCGAAATGTAAATCCGTGAAATACTGGAAATTTGTTCTAGAAAAATTTGGCGTTTTTTTTCCGTTATTGTTGTTGTTGTTTGGTCATCATTCAAACAAAACAATGAAAACTGATTGTCACTTGTAAAAAACGACATGTCAGCTACATTGTACACGGATTTAGAATTTGATTGCTGAGAAAAGTTTTCTAAATCAACGAACGAACAAAATTGTAATATTCAAGGGCGGCGCAGCTTCTTTTTATTCGCGGATAGCTATACATTATATCAGTATAACAAATAGGTATCCGGCATAGCCATATCATTGTTTATGCAAAACGGCTTGGTTTTTCAAGACGCAAAAGAGACTTCGTTGTACAAGTCGGACATATTGATAGGCCTTTGATTGGATTAGATCATGATCTCCAAGAATCAACTACGCATGCGTCACTTAAATGATTATTTCGTAATAATATTAGCAATTTCAACAGTTTTTTTAATTTTAAACAGTTTAGATACTTGACTTTCTCAGTATAATAGGTTATAAATCTTGCTTGTGCAATTATTAAGATATAAATATTGGCTTCAAGTAGCTTTAGAGTGCTCGGCTCCGACTCGAGATAACCAATTCAACTTGTCATTCACATCACGCTCAAACAATTAACGTCTTTCATTCGTAATAATTAGAGTTGAATTTTATCTAAGGGCAAATTATCTTAGTCAAGAATAAATGATTTTTCGCTTGGTCAGAGCTTGACAATCGTCATTTGACGAAGATAGAATGGAGGGACTACGTGGCACTTCAAATCGTAGTCAAAATGGTAGAATATTTTCCAAATCAAAAAATCCTTGTCCTTGAAAATATTTGTTAAGATAAGCTCCCAGTTTTGGTTCGGCAGTTTTGATGAACTGATAAAACCTGACAATGAGTCGCCATATTAGAAATTAGAGCGCCTTTCTTAATTGAATAAGATTGCTWTTTTTCTTGTATTTCCTGCTAGTTTTGTGTATTCGTAATGACCACTTATATTTTTAAATTTTCATAAAAAAGACATTTCCTCTTGTCGCGTCGTAAAACAACATAATTTGTCTCTTGAATGAGACTTGTTCTTTCTGAATCAAAAATCTTCAGAAAATTTCGAGATTTTGTAGGCTTTGCGTGCACTCTATAAACATATTGTAAGTAGGTGATGACATCCGTTAGTTAGAGTACCAAACGCGTAAACCAACTTAGTAATCAATATTTTTAAGGCTCTTAACCGGTCATAAAACAGCAATCTCTTCATACTTGAGAGCTTAACCTTTTGCGGCAGCTTTTAGGCCCTTCTCAATGGCTTAAACTTCAATGGTCTAATCTTGCTTCTCACTACTCGTTGTTTCGCCATTGGTATTATTTCTTGTGTCTTGGTTCGAATCAAAGTCATGTCATGGATGATTTCAATCATATATTTCTTAAATAAAACATTTTACATGATAAATTAATCTGACTGTTAAAGACGAAATTAAATTAGAATCACCGGCATGTTTTTTCAAAGTCAGTACTGAAAAACTTGTCTGTCTGTGCATATTTTGTTCTCCTTGCATGTTATAAGATTGCATGTTATGTGTTTGTGTTTTTAAAAGATCTTTGCAAGTGATTCTCGAACTTTAATGGAAACAGCTTTTCCGTCCTTTTAATAGTAACAGTTTATAAGAAACTAGTGTAATTGTCAAGTTTGTTTCAAAACAGCCATTTCACTTCCTTCCTTATCGTATGTTAATGCTATCCTTTTTTTCCCTCAGTTTATTATTATTCGATCATTCTCTTTTCCGAATCTGTAAACGGTGTCGTTTAGTCCACTATTAAATAGTCCACTCTCGTGAGAGGATGCGAGCTTGGGCTAGCTGAAAGTGATAGCCAAACATTATATTGAAGGTAAGAAGGATCATTGCATTATAATGTTATATATGCTGGGATTATTGTACTTCTTATTCAACCATAAGTACGAGAATTCTCATCCTGGTCATTGCGAAAAAGGAAAAGAAAAAGAAAAAAAACCATAAATTGATCATGCATCTCACTAATGAACACAAAACTTGAAGCTTTCAAAAGCTGCTTTCAAAATGGCTCTCCATGTGGCATGGATATAAGTGTTGTTTTTTTTTTGCACGTTTGTGTAGTCTTGGACGTGTTTTAATCATTATATGAAAAGGCGTCATATAAAATCGTTTTCTACTAGTAAGTAATCTCTATATATGCTTCAGGGAGACACTTGTTCTAGAGTTACTAGGTTAGACAAAACACTTTTAAAGTTTTTAGGATGGAAAAAAAATCAGGTATTTAGAATTCTAAGATTACTTTCTGAGTTAAAAACTGTAAATATCAATACAAAATTTTTATCAAAAAAGAAAAAAAAGCGGGCTTGAACACGTGACAGTAGAGACGTACGTTAGCTATGGACCCGGGCTCTAGAATATTCTAAATACATAGTCAATGACGTTATCGTTTCTTAACCAATTCTACACCGATTCATTTCAGATTATGACAATTATGAAGTCATGTTGTATATTACATGTTTAGTATAGACTTCTTGATGTAAATTTTCTTTCTTTTATTCCAAAAATTTGTTTGATCAGTCTTCGTTGACATTTAACATGAAGAATCAATGATCTTTTGAAGCCAATAGTTCACAGGGGAGGAGCGGGTTGCTATGCAACTCCTGTCAACTGAATCAATACTATTTTGAGGTAAGAGAAATTCCAACATAATTAAATATTCTTTGGTGGGTCTGAATGATTTGGTTTTTTCATATTCCTCTTCAAGGATCGATGCAAAAGAAATGATTACATCGGAAAGTATAACCTAACAAGGAAGATTTCCTTCCAAGAAACATAAAAAGATGAAGCAGAATCGACACTATTACTTCTTTGTAACTTTGATCTTCTTCTTCGTCTCTGGTCTGGTGCTTTCAGGTACAGTTGGCTGCGGACATAATGATTTTAATTTAGACAACAACCATRTACTATTTTAAATCAAAATTATGAATTGTGATAATAACAGTTTTAAAACTCTATTCGGTCTGGGTAAAACTTCATCATTAGCTTGTTGCCCAAGTTGGCAAAATCTTTGTCATTGCGTGTCTAGAGCGTTGATTAATAAATTATTAACGCGATTTCATAGACGCTTTACTGAATCCTCGGTTTATTTCGTTAAAATTTCAGGTCAGAGGCAAATTTTATGTTTCTTTGATAAATCTTTTCCGTATTAGTATAGAAATAAAATGCCTTGTTCAGTGCACTTGATTTTTTAATATTAATAATGAATAATAAAAGTTTAGTCGCGCCAAGTACTACGGTTTATCTAATAAGACTTCAATCGACTAAAACTTATATGGAAGCTAAAACTTATGAACGTTCGCAATGTCTGCAGTATTGAAAACTGCACACAAAAACTGTCTTATCAATTTACAGAGAGAACTGAGTTCCGACGTTAAACATACATTTCGGAGTGAATATTCAAAACGTCTTCTTAATCGGGACATTTTTTTAAGGAAACGTCAAAGTAATGTTGGAAATAGCCAGGAATAATCGGAAATAATCGCTCTACACTCATTGGTTTTCTTTGTTGAAGAAGGTTTCCACAATAAAGTTAGTAAATTGGACTATTCAATTGTGGATTAATTGAAAACATTGGCTTATTTGTCTCTAGCCTATCGTGACGGTATCTAAGGTCTCTAAGCGAAACATATTGACTACAGATATTATCCGTTATGATAATTCTATGAAAGGAAACAACTACATAATATATATGTTCTCATCGACTTGAGTGCAGAACATATTTAAGTGACAAGTGCCCCTGTATTGTTATGATCGGCCGGGTTGTGCTGTTTTTAGTTATCTGATGTTCTAAGCATTTAAATGAATTAATTGTTTTTGTCTCCAAAATAGCTGAAATGGGTATTTGTGCTGGATTGTGTTGTTATACTGGCCGAGATAGTTAATTAAACTTCCTATGGCTTCTTGGTAGGAGGCCTGATGGCTTGTTCGAACAAACCGAATAACAAGTTGTTTTCATTCTCTAAAATCTAAAATCACTTGAACAAGCCACATTCTTAACAATGCTCACGTTTAACCATAGTTAGTAGAGGATTTAACATAGTTCAGTGTACAACTGCTTAGTATATGAACTATTACAGCGAGTGTAATGTCTACCTATTGCCATTCAGGTTGAGCGAAGTGTTGTTTATCAAGTTGTCCTCACGGAAACCAATCGCTGTATTTTCCTTCAACCTTTACTTAAATTAAGAAAAAAACCTAAACATCGTTTAACATAATAACAAATATATAAACGTTTTAGAATTATTTATTGTAGAAGAACAAATAATGCAGAGTTAATGACTATGTGTGTCAAAACACGTACCTAAAACCTACGTTTACAGATTTTATTATTCATTTATTCATTCATTTTTTTTCGTTTTTCTTTGTTCTTTTCTGTATTTTTCATAGTATTTATTTACTCTCGCGCGCTTTGAAGTGTGGTACTATTATCTTTTTATCTGCTATCTTTTCGCTGATGTCTGGTATCTATCTACACCTAATTGCAAGAACATTGTCATATAAAATTAAAAGATAAACTTTAGAAAAATAACATATAAAAATAGGAATTGATTAAAATACAAAGAGATTACTTCAATTTGATTGACTCTAGTTTCTCTCTATTTCTATCTGTGAATTCCTTTTTTTATAAAATTTATTTCTTATTTTGATATGACCTCGTTCTTGTAGTTATAGGTATATCAGTAGTTTATCATTTCATTTTGTCCTTTGCCGTCACTAAAGGAACTAGAAAACTCCTTGTGTTGAAATCACCTGTTTCTAGTGCGCGCTTGACTTATGAGAGTACTCGACTATCGCAAAAATCATCGCCTCGCCCAGATAATTTCCCTCCTTTCAAACCTCTTCATAAATTAAAAAAAAACTTATATAGTGCATACTAGAAAGTCTAAAAAAAATCATTCTAAACATAAAAAACATTAAATCTTCAGCACTAGGTGTAAATAGCTGTCCTGAGGGGTGGACCATGTTTGGAAATGATTCTTGTATCTCCATTTCATCTGAAAGTTCTTCGTGGGTGGAAGCGAACAAACATTGCACTGGTCATAACAACTTAACTGAATTGATAAATATTAGAGACGTTAAAGAAGAACTTCTTCTGGCTGAAATACTACGAAATCTGACGCTAAAGGCGAACAAAACAAGCAAGGTAGTTCTAGCCGTTCACGTTTTTATTAGTAAACATTTTGTTTTGCTTCTTTCTTGTTTTTTTTTTTGTTTTGTTTTGTTTTGTTTTGTTTTTTCTTCTTCTTTTTGTATTGACACCTGTGCAATATTTGTGGGTACACCCTGTACATATTGCTTTGTCAGAGCCAATGAAATTTCAATATTTGTCCACACAGTTCTACATAGGTCTAGAAGGGCGCAAATGGAATGATTCCAATCAATTTAATTTTACCTGGACTGACTCTAAGAATCTGTACAATTTCACRAACTGGCGAATCATTAATGAGACCAACTGTACTGTGTTTAATGTTGGCGACCGAGTGTGTTTATACTTTGATACTGAAGTTTCAACTTGGAGACTGGGAAACTGTACGAGGAAAGAGCGATATGTTTGTAAACAGACCTTGATTAAAGGTAAGCATTGTAACACTCACAGTCGGGACACATCTTATCCCGAGAAATATGTACAGTTATTTAATCACCATTATTAATCCGACCCAACCCTATTCCGACCCTAATCCGACCATAACCTGATCCGACCGTAACCCAACCCAATCGCAAACCTAACCCAACACCGACCCAACCCTATACCGACCCTAATCCGACAGTAACCTGACCTGATCCGACCATAATCCAACCCATCGCAAACCCAACACAACAGCGAACCAACCATATTCCGACCCTAATCCGACCCATGAAAACTCATTGTGTCATGGACAAACTTCTGAATCTTTTACGGAACTACTTGATTTTCAGTGCATTGCGGGACAAATGTCTGGAGAAAACAAAAGAAATCCACTATGTTTTGTCCCATACATATCCTACAATGCATTGCGTGTATACGAGGGTATATGCCGTAAAAGCTTCAAAGGTCCATTGCTAATGAAGTTTGCCAAATGTTTTTCTTACTTTTAGCTCCTGTTTCTTCGATATGTAAAAAAGGATGGCATGAAATTTCAAATTTCTGTATTTTCGTCTCGGAGAAAAACACCTCTGGATACAGTTATGGAAAATCTTGTAACCAATTCGACAACCGAAGCTATCGTGTATGGATTAATAATCAAGACAAAGACAATGAAATTATCAATGTTTTAAAGAATGCTGTCAAGACTTCCTCTGAGGTAAGCGTGCGTTTACGCTGTGAAATCGGCATTTTATAGCCGTTAAACGGRATCCAATGCAACAGGCCTTGTWGCGCGTAGCATTGCAACTTGGTTCTATTTCGCCTTGCTGAAGTAACTCGCATGCATCATTACACAATTTGTAGCAGGGATATTCGTGCATCGGTTTTTCTGGTTTTATTGTTAACCTAACTAGCGTTGCACGGGGTAGAACTCAGGCCTACTTTTCGCGAGTTTTATTTTTAGTTTATGCAAATTGTACTCGTTTTTTGGAGTTTATAAGAAGTGTTTTCTTGTAAAAATAACCACAATACCTCCTTGGCAAGCCCTATTACATTTATAATTTTGCAGTAAACGTTTTTCGTTGCGAGATATGTAGCAGATACATAGTTTTATTTGTAACTAAATTGTTTCAAGCTGAATCAACAAAACTAAGCAATTATTTTTCTTCTCGTTATAATTTACAGTTTTATATTGGACTCGTCCGATATAAACATGAGATGAAGTTCTACTGGAATACTGGATTAATGTACAATTATACAAACTGGTACTCTATTAACGAGACTAGAAGGACTGCTGGCAATGGTGAAAGCCGCTTATGTGCTTATTACGGCTTGAATTACAAATGGCGTCTTGATAGTGGCTGTTCAAAACCAAGGAGATATATTTGTTCAATACGTAAGTGGAAAACTAGAGATTGACAGCTTTTGCAAACTTAATATCCCCACATCATAGATGGATGCAGCAGAGAGGGTTCGTCAATATGGTGACTCGCTTTCCTTACACCCTCCTCTGGAYCCTCTCCTCCACCCTCCTCTGGACCCTCTCCTCCACCCTCCTCTGGATCCTCTCCTCCACCCTCCTCTGGATCCTCTCCTCCGTGAATATGAAGCACAACATTAACATTCAAATACTCACGCAAACATTTCGTGATTTTGCGCGCAACACGTTTTTATGTTCAACATAGAAAGTAGTATAAGAAAGGGGACAGAAAGAATTCATATCGTTTTACCACAGAGACTACATGATCTGTTTTTTCTTGCGGATATTTTTGGCATTACTCTAAATCTTATTCTTTTCCAAAGAAATCAATCAATCATCTCCATCATCAAAGCCAAAAACGCCTGACACTTTGACGAACATTACTGTAGGTCCCAAAACTACTATTTCGAAAGAGACCATTGATACAAGGTCCACTACAACAGTGCCTATCACAACGAAGACCGTAAGTACTGGGCCTACTTCATTAGGGTCCAGTACTTCACCACTTACTAGTGCACAGTCCACTAGTGCGGGGCCCACAACAGGTGAAGGCCAGATACTACGGATTTTGTTAGTAAAACAGCTCCCAGCCTAATTCTTGGATAAGCAATACAAAAAATCTCATAATGTTTTGTTACACTTAAATGTTTCCTCGGCCTAAAGCAACTGCAAGTTCTAAAATAACATTGAACAAGACACTGCCAAAACACATTATACGCAGTAATATAGTTCAGTCATGCGTGGTGTGGACTATGACAATGACTAGAAATATCAATGATAACCATTAATATCAGCAAATGTTTATTTTAGATTAAAAATGCAAACTTTTCCCGTTTAACTGGATACCCGTATGGAAAATAGCGCAAACTATSCATATCACTAAGATCACCGCAACAACGCAATTTTTTCATTTGCATTCATCGCAATACAGCATAACATGCAAAAGGGATAAAACCGAAAATTACCAGAGTGCCCCTCAAATGTATAATTGAATATTTCTAATTTGGTTCAACAGGCAAGAGATATACAATTGTGGCTCCTAATCCTCCACAAGGTAATATATATTGAATGTAGAGGACTCGTGCCCAGTCGCGATATGATGTCCCACTCACTCTAGCTATCAATTCTCATTGCTTTAAAAATCTTGTATCTTAAAAGTAATTTTCATCATTATCCGAGTGAGTATTAAGATTTTGAATCGTATCTTCCTGCCTCAACGTTGCAACGTAAAATCTTCTTTTTTCGAAAAATGGCACAACTCTTATCCATTATATTTTACAAATAAAACTGATATGTAACACATAAACACGCACTCTGTACATACATATGATATACATACCCTTAATTTTTCAGCATTGATAACAAAAACTTATAAGGGTGTTAAAACGTACACTACATGCATCAATAGACGAATCAACAACAATCTTCTTACAGAACATAGTGCAGACCCTTGTGTATACACTACTAAATCACTACTAGATGTACAGTATTGTCTGTCTGTCCACATCTTCGCTCTATTTTGTTTACTTACTCGTTGTAAGTAATTCAGAGTGATTATTGTTTTTGATACTTTTAGTTGTAGTAACACCTACCACGCCRTTAGAGACCWCRACAGCCATTCCAGGTAATAATCACAACACAGAAATATTGCATTTTATAATCTTGATTACAGAATTATCCAGATTTTGAAACACAACCTTCTTCACTGTTCTTTTTCAGTTTGGGTCTAAATTATTCAAATTATTTGATTCTTTTCTCAGGAGAAAAAGTGGGAGAGCTTATAAACATGAGAATTCAAGAGCTGAAAGGAAAAAAGATTAGCGATGATGAAGCAACAAAAGAATTAGAGGTGAGTGCATTCTCTTTGYATGAYCGTACTGTTACATTAGGTGTGGGGGTGGGGAGGCTGGGGCTCCAGTTGGCTATGGRTGCGTAGTCGYTTGYACTCGTGACTAACTTGGAAAATATTTCTTTGTTTRTAGGAAACCAAAAATATAATTAAAAATGTTAATCTCGCAGAAATGGTAAGAAAGTAGTATTAAAAGTTATGATTAGACGAAACTCTCAATTCAATCATTTGGTTTTCATTCTACTTATGTTGTAGTCTGATGCACAAAACGCTATAGAAARYATCGAGAAAATGGGMGAAGTCCTTATCGCAGGGTTGAAGAAAGCTGGTAACATCACTGAACCTAAACGAATTCAAGTGCAGAGTGAAAAGATGGGTAAGTCTTTTACCAAATGAAAATTATTTTGTATGTGTATAGAATAGCATTAGTAAGTTGCTTTGGTGTANGTAAAAGTATGGCTTGATTTTGTTGCAAAAATAGCATGGGTATGAGGTGCAAACATTAGCCGCAATATTTCATAATGACGCAGTGGTATTGCTTATTAGTTGCATTCTTGGAAGGCCATATAATATTCATATAGTACTAATGACATATTCATATATACTAATGGCATATTCATATATACTATCTCTCTCTTGATATAGTGCTTGGTGTGACGCTTTTGCCGCCGAGCTCCACTGCTAAAGTTCGATTTCCACAAACCAATACCGATGGAAGCATTAAGATATCTGATTCAGTCTTCAGAATCGCAGAGAACACCCCCTCTAACTCGGGTAAGAACACCCCCTCTAACTCCGCGGTAAGATGCGTTTCATCATCTCACTGGTTGGATGAGTAAAGTTAACAAATACAACTCATTTCCTTGTGTTTCAGATGGCGTAGGAATGACTTCAAGTCTTTTGCGTGTCAACACTGGAAAGAATAAGGACACTAAAAAGCCGTAAGTACACCACTTTATCCAACTGAATGAACTTCCCGTCGGCTAGTTAACAATTGCGTCAGTGCCCTAACAATGAATTCTAGCCCTTCAGTTTGGGTCAGTTATTTATTTTGTGCTACCGCAAATTTTTATAATTTTCCGGCCACAATATCTGGAAATGTTCGGAATGGTCCTTCAGTGAAATTATCCACTGCCATATCCGTAGCCTGCAGGCGTTCGTGTTTTGAATTTAGTTTCTGGTCTTCCTGCATGCTCTTCCTTGCATAAGCACATATCAACACAGGAAGCCGGCATCTTACAGCGGTTTTCCAGGAACACAAAGAAAACCTGATACACTTTCCTGAAAACGAAAGTCGGATGTTTGATCATGAAATTCCTTGTTTCTTCGTTACAGAGTGCTTAACTCGGTTATCATGTCAACCAAGGTTACTGTACCTGATGGCACCATTAACAACTTAGATGATCCTGTTGTAATCACACTACGACACACCAAGGTATGAATGAAGAAGAAATGAATGAATAAAAAAATGAAAGTTTAATTAAGAGCTGATCAATAACTGAATGTGTTTGAATGATAATCGAAAGAAATCATGAGATGAATCGCGAGATGATCGCGAGATGAATAAAATCAATGACTGAAATAATAAATGAATGAAACTGAGATAAATAAAAATAAAATATATGAATGGGGCTGATCAATGAATTATACCTCAACTCACTTATCCATTAATCAAACTGTTTTATTCCTTTTCTTATCTTTAAAGGAACTGGAAAACGATAACAGCAAAACGCTTTGCACTTTTATCAATACCACAGTGTAAGTAATTGTTAAATAATGCATGTATTTCACGCCTGCACATGTATAGGTGTAAGGTGTAATTAGATAGCTCACTAATTACAGCTGCCATACAGAATTTTAGAGTATTTATATAGATAATTTTTTCACGTTTCAGTTCCGAGTACTCAACAGCAGGATGTAAAGTTGCTTTCTTCAACAAAACTTCTACAGTTTGTCATTGTTACCATCTTACGAGCTTTGCAGTTCTTTTAGATGTTCACGGAAATACTCCATTGGTAGTTAACAATCATTTATCATTATCAATTAATTAGTTATCATTATCAACACAATCATTATTCACTCCTTATTTGGTAATTTTTACGTCAATGAGCTTACGCATTCAGTTCTTTTCTAAACCGTGTCCTTGCCTTTAATCGTCATCAAAGTAATAATAATMATCATTATTGTTATTGATATATTAATGACATCAGTAATCCAATATTAATGTTTAATTCTATTTGTTTGATTATTAGACTTCTGATACACACAAGTTTGCACTGTTGGTYATATCTATCGTTGGGTGTTGTATCGCGTTGGTTTGTTTTATCGCCGCATTATTTGCATTCCATTTTGTAATCTCCGAACGAAGAAGGTAAGGGAATAAACCCTATCTAAGCCTCCCTACCTATTGAAAACGCACACTATGTTTTCACAGAAGGATCTGTAAGGTTGATTAAAATGGATAAACAAAAGAAAGCAAGACTATTAAGAGTGAATAAACGGCATAGCGAAAACCTGATGGTTCCATATATTTATTYGTGCTATAACTTTTCGCAGGAGAAAGACAGAGACGATATCTATCCACAAGAACCTTGCAGTCGCYGAGATACTAGCWCTTGTCTTMTTCCTGCTTGCTTATGGAGTTGTAGAGCCCAAGGTACAGCAGCTGTTTTTACAAGGGAATTATCCTAATGCGCTTGGCAATGCATGGTTAAAAATGTAAAAAAGATGGCGTTTCCGAAAATATCAGTATGGAGTGTGATGCAGTATAAATCGATTATCATGCTTACCTGAAAAGGTCTTTAGAAGAACAACAATGATTATCAAAGTAGTAACTAATAACAATACTGTATATTTGTAGGGATTATGCTTTGCCATAKCATTCCTCTTACATTATTCTCTCATGGCTGTTTTCTTCTGGATGTTGGTGGAAGGTTTGAATCTTCATCGTGGTACAGTGCAAGTATTTATTACTACTAGCCGTATGAAAGTCTACTATGTCATTGGATGGGGTAAGTCACATGAACTTTAGGCTTGGTTTCCAGGCATCGGTGTTTCCCATGCATGCCCTCGATACTCCCTCTCTCTCTCTCTCTCTCTCTCTCTCTCTCAGGGCGCATACGAAATCTCGACGGCCTAGTGTCGGGGTTCCTGTGCTAATGTATGTACGCCAAAGCAATTTGCCCTTTTAATTTGTGTCTTCAAACTGTCAAAACTCTTAGTTTTAGGCTATCTAGCGGTAGTAAGGATCGATGTATGTTCCTTGGGTGTCCTTCTGGGCTGAGCACCATATAATACAAAACGGCACATGCCTTTTAAAAATGTCAAAATTCAAAAGTATCAATATGTTTTGTCTTTTCTAAGGACTGCCATGGATATTTGCCATAGCTACTGCTGCTGTAGGTCAAATGGACTACGCAAGGGAAGACTTGTAAGTAAACTAGACGCTCTTAGAGCGCCAACTTGGGCTACTATATTTTAAAAACGCATATAACTTTTATCTTATTTCCAGAGGAAAGAGAAACCTTTATAATAGCATTCYTTTAAATGTAAACTTGTATCTTGGCATAATTGGCCGTGTTAGTTAAACAATGTCATCAAAACTGCAATAATGTTTTTCGTATTCTTCTTCAGTTGCTGGATATCTCAACAGTACATTTGGGCGTTTGCTGGTCCTGTAGCTGTYATCCTCTTTGTAAGTGYGATAATTGTTGTCTTACATGATTTCAGATGCTTAATTCTAATCATTCAGTTTGTCGCTTTTCAGATAAACTTTGTTATTCTTTGTATTGCTATACGAGTAATGGTTAAAAGACCAAGATATGTAACAGACCAAGTTAAAGACGTCAACAAAAGAAGTACTGAACACGAATTGAGGTTTGTATGATGATAAACAATATATAATTCACTATATCTATGAATTCGAAGCGGCTATCATTTGCACTGTGGACGGAGACGAGCGCACCGAAAAGATGTGGAAAGAGCGAGGGAACTAACGCTTGAAATGATGAGTAATAAAATAAGTTTAAAAATAAATGTATTATATTTTTTAGGATTGCTTTCAAGACTACGATCATACTTCTTCCTTTACTTGGTCTCACGTGGTGTCTTGGTTTCCTCGCAAGCAATCATGTGACCGGAAACACTATCATCCAGTATTTGTTTGCTATCGTCAACTCGTTACAGGTATGGACATCTAACAGCTTTATGATATTAAGAAGACCCCATCCTGAGTAATTATAATCAATKCAGCTTTTATTAGGCGATTAATGATAGTCAACTATCAACCTAAACATATCTATTTCTCATGTCATTGTAGGGTTTCTATTTCTTCTTGGCTCACTGTATGTACGATGAAGATGTAAGTACTTTTCAACTATTTTAGATTTGAATGGTTTTAGATTGACTGACACGAGAGAAAACAGCGCTTCAGTTGTGCGCAAAGGCAAGACAAACCGAGTTAAAAAAAGGACTAATGCGATAGAGAAGGAATGAGTTTTTTTTTTCAATCAAAAATTGAGAAGAACTTGAGATGTATGTTGAAGGGTGAATAACTTAGAGGGTCTGTAATCTCAAGAACGTTGTTTATTTGATAATCATATCTGCCGTCTTAACAGGTTCGCAATGTGTTATTTCAACATATCTGTTCTTGCTGCAAACGTCCTTCGCCAGTGAGTACGGTTATGCAGCATGACAAAATAATGCCGGATTTTACATGTGTAAAGTAGTGGTTCAACAAATAAAACGATGAAACTGAGTCTTTAGAATGCATGAAACTTATACATGATGAAGAGGAACTGTTTGTGTGGAGAGTTATATCCCACCACGGTAGCTGGAACACTTCGGTTCACCATTATATTTTTTAAGCATGCGTTAATAAGTTGCGCATGCTTTAACCATGGTTTCCCACATGGATTAGATGTTTTAGTCGCATAATAAACGCATGATGGTTTGTGCATGTTTATCATGATTACAATTATTTATGCTACCGTAAAGCACTGAATGCCAGATTGATTTACCGACATTGTCGACCTTTCTTCTTTCAACCCAACACTCCAAATGAAGAAAAAACTTAATTTATTATCAAATTATCTTGTTTTAATTAGTATCTCTATTCATTTCAGGTTATAAATGCGACAAGCAAGACCTCTTCTCGCGTAAAATCCTATTTCAGTCGAACACTATCGCGTTCAAATCCATCGAATAGCTCAACGTCTAACGCAACAAGACAACCCAACGCGTATTACTATACATCATCAAAACGAGAAGGCAATAACATTGCTTTTGAGATGCCTTCTGCATCTTCTTCGTCAAAACCAAAAGAGGCCATTCCAGTACTATTAAATCACAAATACGTTGATGAAGATGGTGACGTTTCTTCAAAAACTAATGACACCAATAAAGTTTCGATAAATGTTCCGGATTTTAAAACCAGGCGACACCGTGTTGGTAGCACAAATAGTTCTTCAAGCGCTGACTCAGGCTKGGATTCCACAGAGAAGAAAGAACTGAAAACATCTAAAGAACACGCTAGTTCGGAAATATTTTTTCGAAGAGCAATGTCATCAGACTTGAAAAGACATTCAAAGAAAGGTGCTATTCCTCGTAGATCAAAGTCCGTGGCTGAGACAGAGAGAATGCAACTGTCCAAGCAGATTTCGAACGGTAGTAATACTAGTGCTGTAAGCGGAAGAAGCAACACTGCCTTTTTGAGTGGATACTAATAGTCAGTAATATTGTAGATCATTCTTAGAAATCTTTTATTTTGAAATAACATGGATGTGCGATTTTTACTTAGAAATCTGAAAATTACGACGAGAATGTGGAAACGATAAAATCCATCCTTGTACGACTTCAGTACGAGGCATTTTTACTATTATATTATAATCTAGTTCACCTATCGCATTTTAGATTTATATATATATATATTAATGGTACTGTTACATATTGTCCCGCAATTAGCCGGCTCTAAGTGTAGTGGATCGCAACGGTGGTCAAGTTCGCCGTTTCAAGATGTAGTGAATGTGGAAAGAGATATAATGAGCCTCTAGTCCAATGTATGACTATTCTCATAGCCGTGGTTGTGTGCATGTATCAAAGACAATGTATAAGTTATTTACAAAACAGTTATTAAAAGATTCTCACGGAAATTGGACTATTGATTTATACTTATTTTTGTAAAATGTTTTCTGGCCGCCATCTTGAATTTTATCGTTTTTCTACAAGTGCTGAAATAATGTAACAAAATAAGGTTAGATGGGTACCATTATTAGTACTTATTAGGCAGCAGACAATAAAGTTCGCGGGTTGAATTGATGCACAGAAACCGCGGTTGGCAGAAGATCTGATTTCAGACTGCGTTAGTATGTATTACTCGGGCTTCCAGTGGATTGCACTCGGGATCGACAAGGGGAATCGGTTTAAAAGATCTGTTACAGCAAAGCTACAAACAAAATCATTTGTATTTCATGGTCAACTCACATTCAGTTCATTGAGTTAATGCAAATAAAGTCGTCGTCAGGCTCTTTAACGAATGCATATCGATTGATTGGAAGAGCACTCCAGGCAAGACCCGATTGTATGTCGGTCAATATTTGACCTCTCCGACTAATTATAGATTACTCGTGCTCTTCATTTTGGAAAATAGAATGTTTCTCTAGTTCCTGTCATCAAGACATATCTAGGTTTCTTTTACTGTTTACAGATCATTATAACTACGGATTTATTGCAAGAAACGTATCTCCAGCGCGCCACGACGTCACTGATGAACGGTATCATATTTCAAGTTTACTGGCGCTGGCTCCATCACTTATGAGTTAAGATAAGCAACATTATTGACTCAAACCACTAGAARCCATTACGTTTCGAGCTTATCAGTCGYACTGAAGCTATCAAGAAAATCCTCATTTGAAGGTAAACAGTTTAGGCTTGTTGTTGTGTCGTAGTTTAGTGTGGATTTTGAGCATTTCTATCACTGACAAGCCCACGTTTTCATTTYCACGTATAATACGTGAATGAACGTCTGTGTTATTAGCTTGCTGTTTACTCATTGAATGACTGTGAACCGTTAGAATTCTAAACAATTTACTCATCAATTAAGAGTAGTTAAGTGATTAGTTTAGGAGTTAAGTTGTGATTCGTATTTAGCCATGTGTAAAGCTGTACGTCGTGTAGAATGTTATGGTAAAATCAAGGTCGTTCTTGTAAGGAATAACAGCTCGCGTGCTTTCATATAATCTGATCCACATTCTTCACATTTGCTCTAGACTTTTATTTCCTTTTTCTGTCTACTGGCTGATACTCGTTTCGTCTGCGGTTGAAGATAATTTAAGATATTTCTAAGCTTTTTATTCTATCGAACACTGCTATATATTACTGTAGCCGGCCCGAAGCAGCTCGTCTGAATTCCATTCCTAGCTATACTGTAAGCATTTCACTGTTGGACTATTTTGCCTGGACATTCACAGGGCATTCAAACATATAATTTACGTAAACTCTTCCTCTGTCGTCACCGAAACTCAATAGATAATCCAATTACTATTAACAATAATTACGGAATTGAATTTGCTCATCATGAAAAACCGATTAAGGAGTCTGTCTGAAAGATTTTCTGTGACTTTAAGTGATCTAAATGCTTTCAGCTTTGATTGYATATTTACGTTTTCGGTACTCAGTGGCTAGGAAATTGGTAGGAAACGAGGAATAATTTCCATMYATYAATGGARCYTTTCCAAGAGAAAATCGAWCAGACTATGGCTTCCTCGAACATGCAGYAGTTTGTTTTCCTTGTCCTCGACATCTCCTCAATGSCCGGAAACGACAGGCGATGCGTCAACAGTGCTATTTTGTACTAGTATTCTCTATAAATCAAAATTATCCAGGTCACTCACATGGACAAACTTTTCAGGAAACGTTTATAAGAAGTACACAAGAATTTTTWAATAACCTATTGAAAATGTAGTTGCTATCGAACGGCACCTGTCTGCCGTTGCACGTCTAAAGTATTCAATAGRTGAATTAATCACCGAATCAACTCAATATCACTCAATGTCATGGCAAGTTAAGAAGTAAAACGTGTTGCGCAGGCTATGTTCAGACGTCAAGCGCTGAATCGTCGCATAGATTTTCGTTAGGGATGATATTTGTGGGYCCTGCATAGTGAATCGACGTCTGTCTATTGTTCTGTCTACGGAAAAGGAAAATTACTCGAGTCTGTGGCGCGCACGCGTAGACGTTGAATGCTGTCGAACTGTCAAAATGTTGTTGTTTTGTTCTTGAAATTGTTGATCCACTGAAATGATGCAAATGATGATGATGTTAATGATAAAAATGAATAAACTTGATGACGTAGTGAACTATTATAAATGTGCCGAAAATAGAAACAACATGAACTTCAGTCTGCTGGCCTGTCAAAAGGCAGTTCTTTGCCTTGATGTGTTTTGATGATGACAGCCAGTTGTTCAAGTACATAAACGATTTGGTAAACTCGATAATGATTATTAGTATCAGTGATAGTGAGCTCGTCTTGTATGATAAATTGTGCTCCGTGGTATGTGATCCATCTAGTTAATATCGCATGATGTTTGCAGACCAATGTACACAGTAAGGACATAGCTATGTAYGAGCTATGGGTGGTCTACACGTTTTTATCAAATTATCTTCTCTTGGTTGCAAAATAAAATGACATTCCAATAGTATATTACTCTTATCATAAGGCTTATTATCGTTTAACCCGAGATTATTAGTGGTAAAAATAACCAGAGAACGGTAAGTAAGACTGACGCCGTCAATAATCCTCGAGTTTTAATGAAAGGATGAAGTCACGTGACAGTATTCTAGAATTCTTGTCGCGTTTTTCAACCTGTGGTGGTCCTTTCAGTAGTCGGTTAATCACCTCCATAGCGGCAAAGCACGCACAACAAGAGCCTCTCAGAACAACAACATGAAAAATGGACAAAAAATATATGTAAATTTTTGCCATGTATTTYCCTTTCATACCAAGATTTTATTGATCTTCGCCTTGCTTTTTCGTCTATTAGTCAGTAGGTTTATGATAAAMAACCTCCTTATTAGGGATATCAATAAATAGTAGCTATGTAAGCACTTAACTATGCCATGACGCAGCGAGCTTAATGTTTTGTTTTTTTTGGTTAACACAAGTAAGACTGGGTTCCGTWGCGTATGGCACGTGGTCCTGGTGCGCGTATGGTCATTGTGATATTGACCTTGGCAAACTGATATATGTACAGAATACAAAGAGAACWAACAATTAGACGGTAAATATTTTATTTTTCCGTGTCAGGAAGTTGAACACACCGTTACGCAAAGTTAACCATACGTTTTTCGTTAATAAGAAYGTTACGTAACTATAACTGTGCACAAAACCGCAAGATAACACCAATTATTGTTACGCCGGTAACTAGACAGCTTTACTTAGTTTTCATGCTAATTTAGAACRTAAGGTCAGTAGCGCAAGGTACGGTTACGGCAGAACCAGTTACAAAGACTGACTGTAGTTTTCCTTAAAGTACGTAAGGTTACCGCAAGGTGCAAATACTGTAGTACCTTTTAGAAAAGTTCACCGTAGAAAAAGACGCGATAGTTTCCACAATGGGTTGYTTTCCGATGCCGAAAAAACATGCCAAAGAGACCATCTATTTGAGTCTCAAAAGAAGAAATTTTCTCATCGTGTAAAGAAACCCTTTAGTACGTCGATAAACGGACCGTGTTACTTTCAACATCTCACCAATTGTATCTTGTATCGCTAGTTGTCTTGCATGTCGTCTATTCAGTCATTTTATTTTTCTGGTTAATTTCCACCAATTAATTCATAATTATTATTATTTCTTAGTTCAACAGATTACATTATGTTGCTTGTATCGCTACTGTTAATAACATTTATTCCAACCACTACTGCTGATGTTACGTGTGAGGAAGACTGCTCTGGAGTACAGTGTATAAATCCTACGAACTGCAAGGGAGGAATTGTCAAAAAGTGGTGTGAATGTTGTGCTACTTGTKCCAAGGTTGAAGGAGAGGAGTGTGGCGGTTATTTGAACGATAAAGGCAGATGTGATGTTGGACTGATCTGCGTGATTGACAAGGACTCGGGAGACACAGCTTCAGGTTTCTGCAGGAAAGGTAAGTGACCCATTCAATCTCTTTTCTCCCTTTCTCCTTTCCGTCGCTACTTTCCTTTCCTRACCATTTTTCTTTGATATCATTTTTTACCCTTTCTTCTATTCATTCCCGTCCCACAATCCTTTCCTATATCCTGTCTTGTAAATAAACGAAAATCAATAATACTTGTCSTTTTTTTGTGTTAGTTGGATCTTTATGCGATAACAAGAAATGTGGGTTCCGCCAACAGTGCGCAGTCACCAAGCATAACAAACCCGTGTGTATTTGTCCGAGGAACTGTAGGGAGAGTAAGTTAAGGCCATTGTGTGGTTATAAAAATGGCAAGCAGTACAAGAATACATGTGAATTACAACGCCACGAATGTCGTTCAGGGAAAGAAATTGGATTCTACAAAGGACTCTGTAAAAGTACGTACAAAAACCGTTAGACAAAGATGGGACTGGGAAAAAAGAGAGGGGAAAGSAGAAAAACTACGAAGAAGGGAATAGACCAAAATACTGAAGAGGAAGAAAAAGAGAATGAGAATGAGTGGGAATATGAAATATTTGGAATACGGAAATTATAAACTAGGAAAGATGGTTATGAAAATAATGAGAAACAACAGAAAACAAGAAAATTGATTAATAACAACAAGATTCATAGAAAACTAAGAAGGATGAAGGCAAATAAGATGAACTTGAATTGTTACTACATTGCAAAAACAAAGTCATTCATTTCTTTGTTCTTGCATCTGAGATAACCAATTTGTTTTGTCTTTTCCAATAGTGTTTTTTTTTTCTTTTTTACTAATCTTAAATCCCTTCTGTATAGAGTGCTATCATGAAGGTAAATCATACCGAGTCAAAGAATCAAGAAAAGGTGACGCTCCATGTGAAACATGGTAATTCCTGTTGATTGTTGCTTAGAAAGACTATCCATTATACTTGTAGCTTGGGGGTCGAGGTAAACGAAAAAATACAGTCTGCTATCGCATTCCGGACACCCCGCTATCAATGACAGGGAATGATTRCCAAGATAACTTTTTAAATGWGAACTTGAAATGATTAAACCAAACTTCGCTATCAKTGCTTACAATATATATAATTTCCCAGCCACACTCCCAGACTGTTTTTCCTTCTTCCWGAGGTAGAGCCTCACCTGCAAATGATTGAAAGATGACTTGTTTTGAGGMTGTAAAATTACTYTGTGTGGAAACGAGAGATGTCTTTGATTTATTTCATCATCATCATCATTATCATCGGCAGCAATGATTAATGCTTTTGCTGATGCAGATATGATAATCTTATGAAATTCTTTTATTAGAAGTTTTTAGCAGCTTTCATGAAGTTTAACAGAAACCTTATTTAACGTGCACGAGTACTAAAAGCTAATATTTGCATGTATAGATGATTACAGTAGTTTCCAGTAGTGAAATGTACACAGTGTACTTACAGTGGTATTTCCATTTTAAACGATGTGGTTTCGTAATGGTGTTTACTATACCACCATAGTGGACCGGTAAACATTCCATCAAGATAAATCATCAGTTCGTGCAGACAGTATGATGCCCTCGGGATTAATACCTCTCATGTCTCCTTATTGAATAAGAATCGGTCTAGTGCGCTATTTAAGTATTTCTTGCGACTCCTAATAGCTGATGGTATGATAAGTTGTTTTGCTCAATTCATCGGTGTAAAGCTGTGATCACAGTGTAGTTTGCTGTGTTGGTAACGGTAAAACTTCCATATGTCAATCATCGTGTCAGCATTTAACAAATGTAACGACAGCTCAAAGCGTTCGTCGATCCTTTATTCTTTTTGAGCAAGTCAATTTTATCGTTTCATCGCAGTAGWAGTCTTAGACGAATGGCTATAGTCAATGACTTCAGTTGTAATTAGRCATTTTTATCTAAGGCCATAGTTTGMAAAATTTCTAAGAATGAAAAGCGCTTAAGACATGCAGCACTTTTTTAAGGTGATTGCTCTTACATTTTTACAGCAATTGTCTCCATGGTAAGTGGATATGCAAAACAAAGAAATCTTGTCAAGAAACCTTGGATTTCTGTACTGTGTTTAACGATCGGTCGACGGGGATCACCACCTCCACATGTCCCAGGGGCTTTATATGCAAAGTGCAAATCCCAAGCATCCCCGAGCAAAACATCCCAGGAGTTGGAAAATGTGTCCCTGGGAACTCAACTGGTATGCAGGAAATAATTTTAGAACCGGAATCCCATAAGTATAATTAGTTGGGTGGTTAATAGTCATCCTCTAATTGGGCGTGTCGATGTTTTCCCWTATAACGTCATAAGCGTCAAAAAAAAAGCAAGAAGGAAAGATACACAGAAATGCGTCCAGACTACACCCACACAATAGAGGTTGAAGTCTCGTTTCCCTATTTCTCTTTGAGTGTTAGGTTATTTGCAGCTTTGATTGAAAATATGATCATTTTTTAAGATGTTTTTTATGTTGTGTTGTGTTCCTAATGCTAATTTTTCTATTTTGTAGTTTCAACCTCTGCATACAAAAACGTAACAACAACTCCAACAAGTAACACAGGTTTGTTTAAATGAACTCTAAATGGTGGCCTTGCAAAAATGAAATAAGATTATTTTTATTGTAAAAATTCACAAATGTTTATACATTATACTATTAAAAGTGCAAGCTAACGACTGGTTTTGTTTTCTAGCCAAGACCGTTGTGAATGTATGTGAATTGCCGGTTAAGACTGGCTCATGCCGTCAATCAATTTCTCGATGGTACTTCAACACTGATCGCAAAAAGTGCGTCAAATTCACYTTTGGTGGTTGCGATGGTAACGCTAACAATTTCCGTACGAAGTCAAGTTGTCGAAATACGTGCATGCGCAGAAGAGGTAATCATTTTTGACGCATCGCAACAGTTGTGATAGCGACCGCGATGACATATCATGACAACTATTATCATGTGTGTAGTGACAGTTGTCATAGTGAKTGTTGTCATGGTGACATCGTGTTATGACAGTTGTCATGGTGATTTTCTAAGTTTTTTATGAGGAAAAATGGTGATTGCGATGCTCTTTTTCATTGAAGGTCAAAAGTCTACTGTATCAACRCCACCAAAGCGAAACATAAAACCAACAAGAACAGGTATTTACAATATCTCGCCATAACACAAACTAAACCTCTAGAGCTATGATATTTTACCACTTTCAAGAAAAAATAATCGTTAACATTAACAATGTTATTTTGTTTTTAATTTTGTGATCGGCKTATTGCTTTTTTACAGTCAGACCTACAAACACCACTGACATATGTCAGCTACCACCAGCCCCAGGTCCCTGCCGTGCTGCCATGCCTCAGTGGTACTACAATCCTAAGAAACAGCGGTGTTCACGATTTATTTACGGTGGTTGCGGTGGTAACGACAACAACTTYAATAGCAAAGACGACTGYAAGGCAGCGTGCATGCGTAATAAAGGTAAAGACCGCTGGTCTCTGACCGTAATGTGGTGGGAGAATTATCACAAGATGCTGGTTGAAGCCAAGYTGAAAGGCTTCTCCAATAAGCGCAAGCGGGCAAAAAGCAAGACTCGAAGAAACAAAAGCAAACGACTTCATAGAGGAAAATAGACATGCGCATTGGCTGGTGTAGTATACTGCTTCAATAACAGGCGTCATGATTTAGATAACTCATTTCTGTTTGAAGAGGGATAGCACGTTCTAATCATGAGAGAGAGAGAAAAATGTCGGTTTTGCTTTGCTGTTACTATGGGTCAAGGAGTAGTAGAAATGCTTTTATGTTTTCATTCTCCATATATCATTTGCGCGACTGAATTAGCAAGATATTCGAAAAGAGCGAGGCTTGCGCCTTTACGGTGCAGTAGGCTATATATCAAGTACATTTATACCAGCAACAAAGTCTTGCGAACAATCACGACAGTACATCTAAGGCTTTCTAGCTTCACCCTACTTGAAACGAGTACAACCTTAAACTTTAAATAACAATAACAACAGTATCTGCAAAAATAACGCAACAACAGCACTGAACAGCCATGACAAAAACTGCCATAATTACAATACTAACTCAAAAAAAAGTAATTGTGCAGCGTATGAAATAAAACGAAACACAGTTTGCGATGACGAGCGATTTTGTTGTTGGTTTGTATCGTATATTGGAACTGCCAATCTGAAGAATGATTTTATTGTAATTAGAATAGATCACGACATATCACTATGACATGATTATTATAATATCTTAATAGCTATATGATATGATTATTGAAGTATCTTAATTTCTATGATATGATTATTATATAGTATCTTAATAGCTATATGATATGATTATTGTAGTATCTTAATTGCTATGATATGAAGGACAGCTTAATGCATAATTTGTATCGGGACTGGAAGACAGAATAAAGTTTGCCAGCTTTCATCAACTGTTCCCATGCACTATCTAACTTTCAGGATATATGATGATTTATATTAGCGAAGTTTGAAAACCATCAATACTGTAATTCGTTCACGAGATTATTGATTACAAATCAAGTGCTGATTGTAAGAGAGTGCATTAGTATATTTTGTTAGAGTGGACGCACCCATAGTCCATAGTCCGTTTGAAGTAGAACAAAATAGTACTAAATTATGTTAATTCCTTTGTTTCCTAATTTCGGCACTATTTAGTAGTAATTAGTACTATTTGTTTCATGGATTTACTGCGTCCACTCTATACTGGACACTCTTGTCTTGTTTCTTTGATATTCAGTGAAGGTGATGGTTTCAGAACTTATCTTTATGATTGATGTTTAATAAAAGTATGCTGTTTATTTTCTGACGGTTTCTAATGGTCTGTTTTATGTCTCTGCAGGCATCAAACGAATAACTCCTGACGACACCAGACTCAGCTCAGGTGAGATTCTTCCATATTCTAATTYACGTACTTGTATCATAACATTGCTTTAACCTCACCTGAGCATGAGTATGGCATTGTTCTCGCGCATAGCCCTATAGATTTTGCGTAGAAACTTGCGGCATGTTTGAACGTGATAATCGAGGRYRAAAAAAGCGAAAGAGACCATTAATCTGCTTTTCATGAACTATGAATGATTCTATTTGTTGGCGTTKTCTTATTGGTACCAGTCTCTAAAGCTCTCAGCCTCACAGGGATAACACATTGTAATCGCAGGCGCAGGAAGCWTGGACTTGCATACCTTTCTCGAAATTGGAACTCTTTCTTCTCTTCAACTCCCCTCCATTCATTTTCTTTCCTATTCCTCTTGTTCTTTATTAATTCTCATTTCTCCTCTTCACGTCTCAACTTTTGATCTTCGTTGCAATAAAACAAGAAATGAGCCTTTTTAAGGAATTATGTGTCCTTTTTATACAAACAAACGAAAATCAAAATCACCCTTCCTGAAGATTAGAAAGTATTTGGACCTCTTGATTCCAAGTCTGATGAAGACTACTTAGAGATTATTAATAATMAAAATAAAATTTGATATAAAATTCACGTAGAATCACTTCCAACAAGCATCGCTACAAGCTCCACAAGAAAGAATCCAACAACTAGAGAATATTYAACTGGTCCTACCCTAAAACCCACAAGAACCCCCTCAACAAGACGCAGCAAAACGACCACTCGATCGTCCACCACCACGAAGAGATCTTGGCGAGCAAGAAAGTCATTCAGATGCCCTTGTTCTGACTGTAAAAGACAAACAGGGAAGGCGACGTGTAAAACCCGACACGGGTGTTTTACGTCACGGGTTAAAGACGCAGATGGACTAGTGACGTTCAACTATGGCTGCCTTGAGAATGAACAACACTACATTTTGTTGTGTAATGTCAGGGAGCCTGACAAACGTCACCCTAACAAAGTTCTAGAATGCTGTAAAGGACACATGTGTAACTTAAATGACGTAAACCAGGGATTAAACCAAGTAGTCAACCACCCAGTCAACGACAGACTACGAGGACGCACGGATCTTCTCAGAACGTTACGTAAGTGAAACATAAGTACGCAAACGTATATAAACGTATAAAACYTAGAATATGCAATCACTAACGTATATAGAGGCATGCAAAGACGTAAGCATAAACGCAAGCTAGAATGTATCACTAGCGTTAGATTTAGTTGACACAATGTAACACTAGGCAAAGACTTTAACGGATTCTTTTCGTTTTTCAGCAAAGTCAACACCGACTCAAAATCCAACACTGCGTAAGTAACGAGAACATATTTTTACTCTTTTGATGGTTAGAAGCTTTTGAAATGTGATGAGAGGTCAAATTTCCTAGACGCAAAACAAAATAGTTCCCGCTTCCCCGATATTGGGGCGCCTCTGTCAATGACCACTTCGACATTTAGGACAACTTTTGTTCCATTTAGAGAAACAATCATCCTCTCCCGGAGAACCGCGTTGCTACGATGGCCACAGTAAGAAGTTCTTTGGTGAAACCGAGGAATGGAAGCCTAATGACTGTACGGTTTGTTCATGTCTATCTGGTGAACCAACATGTGTAGCAACGGTTTGTAAACATCCACAGTGTTTGAATCCTATTCGTATTCAAGGACAGTGCTGTCCTGTTTGTGATAACAATGGAAATATCACTGAGGACTCACAAGGTAATGTTTCTTTTTGGCATAAGTGCAATTGTCGTCTTCTAGATAGTGGAAGAAGATTGGGGACTGAGCTCAATATAATAGTTCACGAAACAATAGAATTTATCAATATCATTGTGTTTCATTGAAAAGCTCAGAAGCGCAAATACCAACATTTTGTATTGATTACGTGGATTTTCCATGAGAGTGATGTATTTCTTATTTTTGTTATCAATAGAAATGATAAAAGCCCTGGCTCAAAGTCAGCTGACTAAAGTATTAGGTGAGTATGATGTGACGCCATCACTAGTATCCCAGCATGCATCAGCAGTGATCATCATTATCCCAACTACATGATTGCAACCATTATCATCTGTATTGTAGTTAGTATCAAAAAACCAAAAGACCAACGATTCTGTGAGGACCTCAACACTGGTGAGCTATACCTGTCTGGTCAGAACTGGAAAGTCGACGACTGTACCACGTGTTACTGTCAGAGAGACGGCAAGATCGCGTGCGCAGTTCAAATGTGTAGTGGGTACCCCGGATGTCCAAACCCGGTCAAAGAAAAAGGGCAGTGCTGTCCAGTATGTAAGGACGACATTGACGCACTGCTTACTTATCCAGAAAAGGAAGGTAATATGGAGAAAGTTATTTCATATGATAATGTTTTTTTCTTACTCATCTTTTTCTCTGTAGTGATTGATTCACCAGATTCATGTCTAGACTCRGTRACGGGAGAYTACTATCGTCATAGCGAGATGTGGCAGCAGGATGACTGTACAGCGTGCATCTGTGGCGCTGATAGAAARTATCAGTGTCGTAAAACTACTTGCGAGGAACTGGCATGCGCAGAGAAGGTCAATCTGAAAGGAAGGTGCTGCCCTTCTTGTGCATCAGACACAAAAGCCGGTAAGAATTTTGAAGTCTCTCTTTTTTCGAAAAAGAGGGCATACTACCGAGGATTTTACCCGCCTCGTGGAGCACACCCTCTCGATCGTCATTATTCAACAGTGGTGAATTATTTTTGAAAATTAACTAAAAGTGGCTTACTTTTTTTCGAACTTTATTCTTTTAAAGGCTGCTCATTCGAGGGACAGAAGTTTCTCCAAGGGGAATATAAACTGTTAGCAGACCACTGTACTTTGTGGTAAGTTTGTTTTCCGCTGAACCTCTTATTCAACTCAACATCACTGTATGAGACTTGAGCTTGGGATTCCTGTTGTGACGGTATTGTTTTGCAAAGAGTTTCACTCACCATTGCTTTTGAAGTATAATTCTTCAGTATTTTGCGATATCCTTGGGTTAGCGTGGAGTGTTTTGTTTTCTTTTGGATTTTGGTGATTCAGAAGTTCTCTTGCTTGAAAGTACAACGATAAAGATGAATTTCTTCGATCTAACCTTTAAAAACTAGTCCGCGCATGAATTTATTTTAATTTCCAAGCAGTACACCTTGGCTGAGTAAGTTCTTCCCATAGGAGAGATTTGATTGGTGGTCACTGAACACAACCATCCCACGGGAATAACGACAGTATATTATCATAACAACCAAACTTCGCCCCTCACTACTCCTATTAGGTGCGCATGGTAGACAACATTACCAGCAGAGCTCAGGTAGAGCTATAATCTGATTGGTCGTTGAGATCCCTGGGGGTTTGACGTCACTATTATCATAACAATAGAACTTCACCGAATAGACTACCCCAATTAGATATTAGATATCTATAAGTGTCTTCATAGTACGATGGTCTAAGAGGGTAGCTAAAGGTATGCTCTAGTGGGCGGCTACCCCCTCACTCCCTGGCCTTTTGGTTAAGACTAAGTTTTATGTTCACTCGGGATAKCGTGGAAGRGCCGAAATCTCTAACCGTAACGTAAACCGATTCGACGCCTCAGCTTCATAGAATGTCTCGGGGGAATCGTCCTAACTTTTTTCTTTTTATTTCATCATTTAAATCCATTCTTATTTTATACTTCCGGGGGGTGCCTCAAAGCGTTGCTTTAAAGGTCAAGAGTTCGAGTCCCAAAGCCGCCAATTGCGATTGTATTGTATTCCACTTTTCTCTTATTTGTGATAACATATTTTTTTCTTTCTTTTTCTTCTTTTTATATAATCGCTTGTAAGATTATGCCATTATTTTTCGAATACTTCGCTATTCTGGTAATGTCTTAAGTTAATCGTGTGGAGGATTTGGACCTACAATTGTAGATGGGATTCCTGTGGTTGCACAGTCTGTTATTTTTCGATGGGAAGCCCGAAATTGTTTTCTGGTTCCTAATTTATTGACAATCGTATTGATTGTTTTCTATTTCATAATGATCAAATTTCGATATGTTGTAGAGAACGCATTTCATAAACCGGAATTCTCTATGATTATCCAGCAATTAAAATACGTTACGAGCTGCGACGYAACGTGATTCTCATGAGTCGCTATGTTGTTCTTTCCAGTGAATGTCGAAACATGGAATGGATTTGTTCGTCAAGAAGATGCCGCAAAGACGACAAACCAGGTAAAACTGATAGCTAAGCAAATAATATACTCAATTTTTTTATTTAATAGTTTAAAAAGTATAAATACATTTGTACTGAAGTAAATCTTTATCATTTCAGCTCTGTAGCCTCAGATGGACTCTCAAATACTACAATAATCAATGAGAGAAGTGTAACTTCAAAATACCGCCCTTTCTTAGTTTATTAACTTCGTGGGCGTGGCACATACACGCGGTTAGGGGCGATACTATAGAGGTCTTAGACGCCATACTAGAACGTAAAATACGTTCTTATATACGTGTTGGTTTGTTTACATACGTTAATTATCCAGACCTTGTATAGGTATTTGTAGGTATAGTACGTTGACTAAATGCTTTAAACGTAAAATACCTTCATATTGTTGTGTAAGTTGTAAATACGTCTTCTGCTACGTGACAGGGTATAAACGTAACGTTTGCGTAATTTTTAGTATGTGTGGTAACAGTTGTCAATCTCATCTGAAAACGTCAGATATAGACTTAGATCCATTTTGACGTTTTCAATACTAGGCCGAGATCTCTAAACGCAAATGTTTGTAGTAAAACGTTTCTTTACGTCGAATTTAAGTAATTTTCTTAAAAGAAATAAGTTATGTTAACTTGAACTTGTGTAAATTGCATCAACAAAGTAAACTTATATTTAGAAGCCAAAAAAGAAATTAAACTATTTCTGTACATGTAAAGTAGCTTTAGGAATCTATACTGCCATTACTTGGGTGAATGAATAAAGTAGGAAGTACCTGTACGAAAAGGAAGGAAAAAAAATGATAAAAACACTGATAACAAGAAAAGAGGCAGTATTTTATGATTTCCCATTTTCTGAGAAAAGATAAAGACAACTGACCAAGTTCATTGTCGATAAGGAAAGGAAAAGAGTTTGGACTCTACTAATGTCTTTACCATTGTTTCACGGAAAAGGGGAAATCACTTTGTGGTAAATAAGTGTCGTGATACATGAATATCCGTGAAATACTAGACACTAATAAACCATAGCAGTTACGAATTCCATGGTTTACGTTTTTAACTATTTGAATTTTACACCTTTTACAATTAGACTTAGTTTATTAAGTTTAATGTCTTCACTTTGCAACCTCATGGGTTTTTAATATGATCCATGAAAACATGTACACTTTACATCATGTTATTTGACATCTTTCTACTTCGTTCTGAACTTTTATTTCAGTCAAAACAATTGCGTAAAAGTCTTTAATTGTTTATTACTAACTATCAGCGTGTTTAAAAAAATATTTGTTTTTACATGTTCTAAATCGTCCCTTTTTACTAAAGTGTGCTCTATTTAAATGGACATGCKTATTTCAATATCCCTGTCATGTTTTGACGTCACTAACAACAGGGGGAGTCCACCGCAAGCATGCTGGGTCGATTTCTTGGTAATTAACTGGTCGCGAAGCAACTTTTTGATTGTATTCATCCATAAGTTCCTACAACAAATATAGAAATGTTATATGACAGACTAAACCTAAGAATCGTTAATTGCTGGACTTAAAACACTGATGTAGTTTAGACTAGAGTAAAAGAACGTTAGTAGCCAGAGTAACTATAATACCTTAGAGCGTAAAACTACATGTTTTCCCTTCCAGTACTTCAGTATTCCTAGATACTGCAGCGTGCTTACGATATCATTAGGATGGATAGCGGTCTCTTGGCTGATGTCTTAAAAACAGACAAAAAAAATGTCAGTATTATGTAAGGGAATATAAAGAGAGAGAACGGATTACAATTTGTGCAAGCGTAATCYCAATATTAGCAACCATTATTTAATAATAAAGGTGTTCATAAGGAGCTATAAAAAAGAGAATAAGACTAGTGATATTGGATTCATACCTCTAACGGATATCCTGTCGTAACCATAGGATTGTAAGTACTTTAGTACAACAGATTTCCAGTAGCTACGATAACTTATCAACCCTAAATCWGATAGCGGTTTTTCTGGAGATCCAACTTTGCCTTCAACCCTTGATAGTAAATAACCTGGAAAGGGATTTAAAAACAGATTAAACAAGAAGTTACAAACGCTGCAAAGAAGGTATCAAGCAAGTAAAAAGACACTTGACTAATTGGAAGTGAGATAAAAGAAAAAATAATGGAAAAAAGAGGAGTAAAGGGAGGGTAAACGGAATGAACAGCAAGGACGAACTATCTTTTACCACAGTATATAAATACTTACTGAAGTCAATAAGCATTTTTCCATAACCTTGTTTCATGTATGCAGGAAGTGAAAGAATACACGACACATTGTAGTTGAGAAAAGATTTCTTTTCCTGAGTAAAAAAAATCACAAAAAAGAACATTAAAACAGGTATTACTTGTGAAGTACTTTTAGTTTGATGCTAGGTTTTAGTCGTCTTTTATACAGGAATCCCATCAATTTACCTTTGAGAAATAACCAATGAACCGACAACCAACATTATCAGCCTTTGTCATCACATAAAATAAGAAGGGTTCAACGTCRTAATACAATGTCTTGTGATCCAGAAACAGCTTCGCCATTAGACACAAATTTTGACAGTATGTCTAAGATTGGACAAAAATATTTATGAATGACAGGTTTATGTTTTGTTAACATAATAATGGAGCACTGGAATCGATTACCRTACAGGCAAAGGACATAATTAGGCATGTWAATTGTATTAATGTGTATTCACCTTGTGTTTTTTGCCATCAACTTCAAATACKGACAGAYTGTTTTTTCTATAAATCTCTAAACCTGGTGGATGTCTCCAAGCACACTTGGCCTAAGAAAGATTATTGACCATCAGTACCATAACAAGAATAACAGAACAGAATGGAACAGAAGAGAACAGAATGGAACAGAATAGAACAGAACAGATGGAACAGAACAGAATGGAACAGAACAGAACAAAGTCAAGCCATACAAAAAGCTCAGTCCCTCATGAAAAATTATTGAGTGGAACTTAGTGGAAGTCTGCTATTTAGTAGATCAATCATACCATGTGCCTTCTGAGTATAGTAGGGCTCTTCATGTATTTCAAACAAAATTCACATATGTAGATTTTCTTCATTCTCTGGAATTCCTCAGGATAAGGTGATGAGTACCATGTATCAATCTCATATATGCCAAAAACAATACATCTACAAACTGGTCTGCCGTTAACAGGAATGGCTGGTTCCTGAATAAAACAATAAATTAACAATTATTAAGCTAAATAAATTATAAGTGCAGCCCTATAGGTATTCCATAATTTAAGTTGTCAGTCACATTAAATATATTGTCTAATCTAAAGATAACAAGCCCACCTCTTCATTGACTGCTGCAGCCTTCTGCCATGCACTTTTAAAAAGATTTAAGTCATAATCTGAAGTAAGACCAGTTAATCTGTCTTCATCAAGCTCTTCATGAGGTACTTTAACACTTGAGTCATTTTTTATGGGGATAAAATTATTTGCACTTGACGGCAGAGGTGTGGATTTATATCGATCTGTAGTTGAAGGTGTAATGTCGCTTCCTCTCATGGCTGAGCGTATTTTCTCAGGCATTAAAGAAAGAGCTACTTGTCTTCTTAGATCTCTGCGTGGTGTTTCTTCAGAACTTAGATTTGAGTTTGCCAAGGTTCTTTTTGAAGTTTTTGTCTGTCTTTCCTGGCTAGTCTCTTTTAATCTTTCTTCAGCTTTTAACTAA